TGATGCCAAAAAGGTTGAGTGCCCACTGCCCTATGGAAATGCTTCCTTACTGGTAGACTTTCTGGAAACTATTAAATAAGGCATCTTAAATTTATTAAGTTGATCATTTAAAAAAGGTTTGGTTTTTTGCTCTTCATTTGTAAAAAATACACTTTATAGAGAGAAACTCATCTCAAGTGGGTTGAACAAGCAGGGTTCATTTTTTAAAGTTATTTCCTGAGATTCCAGCAGGTGGCACTCGTACAAAGGCTAAACACGTACTCTTTTGGCAGCCGATGGTTGCTTTTCTAGGTGGTTCCTTCCTACTGTGACCTATTTGCACGTCCGTTTGTCTTGAATAATAAAATTCATTTATTTTCTGATCATCAGAGTGATACATGCTGTATGTTAAGCATATTTTAAAGGTACAAAAGAAAGCATACAATATTCTCCAAACCCCTTGCTCATATCCAAGAGATAACCACTATAACAACTGTTCAGCATATATACTGTACTTTCCAGACCTTTCTCTAGCTTATGTGCACAACATATGCACACAAAAGTAAAAAAATAAATAAATTTGTACAACTTTAGATTTTAAAATAATCATAAACAATATTCTTGTTTTTTTACTCTTTGATCCTTTATTCAGTTTTTTTGTTGTTGTTATGAGTTCCTTTCCTTAAAGACAGACCTTCCACTTCTTCAGTTCATTCCCTGCTGAGTCCAAAGGGACCTTTCACGTCTGTATTGAATTAGGGCTTGTGGCCTGGTTTCAACCAGAGAGCTGGCATCTCACGATGACAAGGATGGGGCTATGGTCTGAATGTCCCCCCAGCATTTGTACATTGAAACCTAATCACTAGAGTGCTAGTATCAGAAGGTGGGGCCTCTGGGAGGTGATTCGATCATGAGGGCGGAGCCCTGGTGAATGGGATTGATGTCCTTATCAAAGAGGCCCCAGGGAATGGCTTTGCCCCTTCCATCGGGTGGGTAGACACTGTCTATAAGCCAGTAAGCAGGTCCTTACCTGGTACCCAATCTGCCTCCAGAACTATGGGCAATACATTTCGCTCATTTGTAAGTCTCCTGGTCTAAGGTATCTTGTTACAGCAGCTCGAAGAGACTAAGCCAGACGCTGTGCTACTGCATGTCTTGTCAGTGAGAATAGGGCAGAGTGAAGTTACATACTAAGAAACCGAGGATATTCTGACTGAGGGATTATTAGAAAAGGGCTGTTATTGGGGTTTTGCTGACCCACAAAATCCTGGCCATTGGATTGTCAGTGGGAAATTTGTGAAGTCACTAACTTTTTCCACGTAGTGTTTTCCCCTGTGGTATAACCTTGCTGGCAGCTGACTTCCTTCAGAGGGTACAATCCAAGACGGCAAGGCAGAGCTGAAAGGCTTTGTGACTTCGCCTTGGAAGTCATACACAGTCACTTCTTCAGCAGGTCTGCTTTCTTTCTGTTCTTTGTGGAAGAAACCACACGAGGGCATGAGCACCAGGAAGTCAGGCTCTTTGGGGCCATCCTGGAGGCTTCCACAAGAAGGCATCAAGATCGAGATGGTCTTGAAGCCATGGATTAGATGAAGTTACCACAGGGAAAAACAACATGATTATTTTAAGAGGAGTGAGCCGACATTTACAGATCAGAGACAAGTCTGAGAAAAAGTTTCCTGGGAAGTAGTGTCTCTGGGATCCCCATGGAGAAAAATATTTCCAAAAGAAGAGAATGCCGAGAAACTAAGATACTAACCAAGAAATGACCACTGTGTTCATGCTTGTGCAAAACACTTTCTGCTTTGAGTCTCACACTGTTCAGTAGCTGTAAGAAGAATGTGTTATTTAAAACAGTAACCAGGTTCGGTGGCTCAGCCTGAGGTGAGTGGATTGCCTGAGCCCGCGGGTTCGAGACCCGCCTGAGCAGCGAGACCTCATCTCTACAATAAATCTGAAAAATCAGCCGGGCGTGGTAGCGCATGCCTGTAATTCCAGCTACTTGGAAGGCTGAGGCAGAAGGATCCCTGGAGCCCAGCAGGTCGAGGCTGCGGTGGCCGGGAATGGCCATTGCACTCCAGTCTGGGCGACAGAGTGAGACTCCAACTCAAAAACAAAAACAAAAACAGTAACTGTAGGCAATTTTGAGTACTAGGGAAGTGACAATGTTTATTATTCGGAGTCTGTGGACTGTTTTCAGCAAAAGACCTTGATAATCTCTTTGGGTCTGGAAGGTAAAGTTCTCCCTTGGCCAGGTGCTGGAAGGTGAGAGCTAAACAGAGAGAACTGAATGCTTAACACGAGAGATTAATGGAATATCTGAAACCACTGAAAAATAATGAAAAGGAAGAGAGATTTCAGAAAGCTGCATACTGAAGCTAGTCAGCTCAAAAATGGCAGAAGAGACCTCCACTGGCTTTGGCACTAGGCTCTGAAATCCCCCAGGCTTGCATGGCTCCTCCCTCTCCCTTCTGCTCCCTTGACACTTTGTGCTCACAGGTTCCCCTGGTTTCTTCATCCCATTTTGGTTCCATATGGTAACTAATAATAGGACATGAACACCAAGTACTTTCTAGGTTGCTGCCGCATTATGTGTGTGACCCCATTTAATCACCACAAAACCCATGTCATGAAGCAGGTACCTCCATCGCTGTCATTTCTGCCTTATGAAACTGAGGAACAGCCCGGGTGCAGTGGCTCACACCTAATCCCAGCACTTTGGGAGGCTGAGGTGAGAGGATTGCCTGAGCCCATGGGTTCAAGATCAGCCTGGGCAACTTGGTAAGACCTCATCTCTACAATAAATCAAAAATTAGCCAGGTGTGGTGGCACGTGCTTATAGTTCCAGCTACTTGGAAGACTGAAGCGGAAGGATCACCTGAGCCCAGCAAGTCAAGGCTGCAGTGGCTGTGAGCATGCCACTGCACTCCAGCCTGGGAGACAGAGTGAGACTCTGACTCAAAAAAAAAAAAAAAAAAGAAAAAGAAAAAAAAGAAACTGAGGAACACAGAAGTTAAGTTACTTGCCATTAAGTAGTAGAGCTGGGATTTGAACCCAGTCTGGCGTCAGAGCCCAGGCTTTTAACTATTAAATTTTGCTCTTGTTTTCCTTTTAGGTTTATGAATTTGGCAACCTGGATGGATCTACCATCGACTTGGGCCTAGATTTTTGTGGGGGTCCAGCCCCAGTAAGTTTTGGGGAGTCCCTTGGAAGATGTGGTAGCATCGGTGAATCTGTAGGGATAGATATTAAAAGAAAGAAAGATGGAAGGATAGATATAA